AAAAAAAAAAAAAAAGGCAGAAAAAAATCGGTACACGCGCCGTACTAATTATCCAGCGCGCAAATGTGTTCCATTTTTACGCGAGCAGCGGCGCGTAACGAGTCCCAATTCCCTTCACAATTAACTGCACCGCATTACGACCCTCGAACTTTTCGTCAACTGCCCTTTCCCCGCTACCCTACTCCTGTAACGATCATCAACTTCCAGAAGTGGCTGTCCAGGTCCATTGGCTCGTTAAACCTCGAAAAAAAAAAATCCACGACATACGAGAGAACGGAAAGAAAGAAGCAAGGTAGGAGAAAAAGAGAGTCCAGGGGGGAGAAAAAAAGGTGTCTTAGGCGAGATCAAAAGCACTTCCACGGGGGTGACCCGTGGTCTGCGGTGGTCACGCGTCCATCCCTGTCGGTATGTGGCCTCAGAACTCGGAAAAGACCCGTGTTTCTCTTCGTCGTGTCTGGCTTTCCTCGTCGGTCTCGTGGCCGTACGAAAATACCGCCTTTCGTTAAAGGTGAACGGACGAAATCGCGAGTTACACGTGCGTGCAAGATCCAACGAGGGTGATGCGTCGGCGGGTGTGCAGGACGGGGGTGTGCAGAAGAGACAGGGCAGGCCGGTGGTCAGGAAGGGTGTACAGAGGGAAAGAGGCGCAAAAAGGGTTGAGAGGGTGGTGATGGTGGTGGTGTGCCGGTGGTGGGTTGGTTCGTTCGTTGAACGAGAAGCGACGAGGTGGGGATTTGTGTGCCGGTGGAGGAGACGGATCGCTAGCCAGACGAAACCGGCAATATCCAACGTTCCCTTGCGCACTCCTGCATACACCTCACACCACCGGGTGCCGCCGAAAATCCCCAAAAGCACGCGAAACAAAGGCCTCCCTCCCTGTTTCACCCTTCGCCCTTCTACTTCCACCTTCTCTCGCTGGAAGCCGAATACTAGCAAAACTGTACCCGATACACGCGTGCACACCAACCGCATCGTGTATACGAACAGAGACGTAACATCGACTTTTCTTGGTTACACGTGTGCCGTGTGTGTAGGCGTGAGTATGCACGTCGGAGAGAGCCTCGTATGCAAGCTCGATAGAGAAAACTGCCACCGCAGGAACGCGTTCGTTGTTGCTCCATGGTAATTGTTTGACTAAGGTTTATTCGGCACCGGGGTTGGAATTAATTCCGTCACGCGTCTCCTCCTCGCCTTTTGTTCGATGCACCCGCCTGAAACGATGTGTACGTCGTGCAAGATTTTACGCCGGGTATGTGCGACCTTGCACGGGGATTCAGATTCGATCGACGTAGTACGTACCAACGATTTGGGGATTGTTTTGGTAGACTCATATATCGCGAGATATGAACGACTCCGGTACGCCTTTGGATAACAACCTTAAGGCCACCGTTTGTTTTTCATTTTGTTATAAGCTTGAAATAACCGAAGTCTGAAACTTATTTTAAAGCTTAATTCGCTCATAGGGATGAATACTTATAACACTCTTAGGGCTAGTAACTAAAACTGTATATCTTTACAACATATAAAGATTGAAACGAAATCGCGAGTTACACGTGCGTGCAAGATCCAACGAGGGTGATGCGTCGGCGGGTGTGCAGGACGGGGGTGTGCAGAAGAGACAGGGCAGGCCGGTGGTCAGGAAGGGTGTACAGAGGGAAAGAGGCGCAAAAAGGGTTGAGAGGGTGGTGATGGTGGTGGTGTGCCGGTGGTGGGTTGGTTCGTTCGTTGAACGAGAAGCGACGAGGTGGGGATTTGTGTGCCGGTGGAGGAGACGGATCGCTAGCCAGACGAAACCGGCAATATCCAACGTTCCCTTGCGCACTCCTGCATACACCTCACACCACCGGGTGCCGCCGAAAATCCCCAAAAGCACGCGAAACAAAGGCCTCCCTCCCTGTTTCACCCTTCGCCCTTCTACTTCCACCTTCTCTCGCTGGAAGCCGAATACTAGCAAAACTGTACCCGATACACGCGTGCACACCAACCGCATCGTGTATACGAACAGAGACGTAACATCGACTTTTCTTGGTTACACGTGTGCCGTGTGTGTAGGCGTGAGTATGCACGTCGGAGAGAGCCTCGTATGCAAGCTCGATAGAGAAAACTGCCACCGCAGGAACGCGTTCGTTGTTGCTCCATGGTAATTGTTTGACTAAGGTTTATTCGGCACCGGGGTTGGAATTAATTCCGTCACGCGTCTCCTCCTCGCCTTTTGTTCGATGCACCCGCCTGAAACGATGTGTACGTCGTGCAAGATTTTACGCCGGGTATGTGCGACCTTGCACGGGGATTCAGATTCGATCGACGTAGTACGTACCAACGATTTGGGGATTGTTTTGGTAGACTCATATATCGCGAGATATGAACGACTCCGGTACGCCTTTGGATAACAACCTTAAGGCCACCGTTTGTTTTTCATTTTGTTATAAGCTTGAAATAACCGAAGTCTGAAACTTATTTTAAAGCTTAATTCGCTCATAGGGATGAATACTTATAACACTCTTAGGGCTAGTAACTAAAACTGTATATCTTTACAACATATAAAGATTGAAAGCCACTGTGTTCTTAACGGGTTCGATTGAATTCTTGCGATTAATATTATCTTAGCGATAATAAATCGTAAATAAACACTGATCGATTTGAAATAACATTACGCGCAAGAATTTTGTAATGATATAACGTGCAGTTAAAATGATATTTACAAATTGATACGCATATGATTACATTAAAGAATAATATCGAAGATATAGTATAATCGTAAATTTAAATGTTAGGTGGAGACATCTATCGATGTTGTCGAATATTAAATCAACACACGTTGTTTGGTTAATTTGGTTAATTATCATACCTTGGATCTCAGTGCTATTACCATGCGTTGCATTGTCACTCATCCTATCGCCATGAATTATATTCCCACTAGTAGTTATTCGTATCGTCATTGCCTCGCGTTATATCGCCGTATATAATAAAAACGCGCTGTTCCGCCAGATGAAAACACAGAACGAAGATGAAAACAAAGCACGAAAACACAAAATCGAAGCAGAGCACTCGCGAATGATAAAAATTTTCGGTTGCAATAAGTTGGTCCGTGGCGATATAACGCGAGTGAACTGTATCGGCGTCTTCAAACGACCTGTAATAATTGGTCGAGCACAAACTAGGTCGGTCGAGTACGTTTTCTTCAAGGTTAGTCGAAAGCCCCGACGCTGAGTGGGTCGGTGAGCTGAAAAATCGATACGTACGAAAGTGAGAGTCTCAGCCGCTCTTCACCCTCCTTTTTCTTCTTTACGTTCCGCGTCCTCTTCTTACTTGCCATTTGGTTTCATTCATGTTGCGTCGTGCAGGGTCGTGGGTTCGTTTGATTTCGCGATGTTACGAGCGCCAACTAGCAGCCGCGCGTTTCAACGATCAATCGAAAAATATCCTCGACGTTCATGGAATTACGTATTCTTTGTCGGTCTTTGTTCGTGGCCCGTCTACGAGATACATACGGTGATTTTACGGTGAATTGTATTTAGAGGGAAAAAAAGGAGAAGCAGATTGTCGGCACATTTGGTATTTAGATGGAGGAAGGGAACGGTGGAGTTTGTTTTTGATCCGCGAATGCCTTTCATGTCGAGTTGTCCCCTCCACGAACAGAGAGGATAAATTCGACTGCGAGATGTTGAACGAAAGAAAGAACGAAACAGAAAATGTCAACAAGGGCATCCGCACATGTGGGATCGCTTTCCTTATGTTGTTCGAGCGAAAATATTATCGGGAGTCGGGTGCATAATGGCTGCGAGCGTTAATGTTCGAACCGAGATAATTACTATTTATTTTCTTCAATTGAACACTACGGTGTTGTACGTACGATTTATTCTGATTTTGAGGAAACCGATGAACCATGATGCTCTCATGAATTTTAATGATTCTCTGAAGTTTGTTACGAGGTCCAAGCTATTCGTGCAACAGCCGTTGCGTCGGCAAAACGGTACTATTTGTTATTTTATTACTTTACTCGACCCGCTCGGAGGGTCAGAAACACCGTTTAGAATGCTTGTTTTTAGCGTCAGAACCGTACCGTCATCCGAGACAAGTCTAGCCGAAGTATTTTTTCAAACATCCAAAATTATTACGTTCAAAAATTTAATGATTCAAAGATATGAATTTAAGAAAATTTGTAAATTTCTGTATTTTTTAATTACCAAGTTAAACTTGAAAATTTCAAACCTCCCGCGCTCCTGCACACCGTCGTCCAAGAATTTTACTATATGATAATAATTGATATTTGTAATATAATGCGTTTGTCTAATTGAGAATATGTATTTTTTGTTGCAGCGGTGCTGGATCAAAGATCCTCGTAAGCAATTTTCCAGCTCACGCCAGACCAGAGGATATCGAAATATTATTCTCGAGTTGCGGTCAGGTGCTCACCGTTGAGAAATTGTCCTCACGCGATCCTAACACACAAACCGTCCTCGTTAGCTATGAGACGCAAGAACAAGCACAGCAGTAAGTAAACGCGAAGTTTTCTTCCTCAAGATATACTATAATGTCGTCCTGCATATTGATAAATTTTAGTTCCTAAATTTGTTCGTTTTAGACTTGGAAATTTTTATATACAAAGATTTGAGTACTTAGGAATTGAGATTTGTCGATTTTCAAATTAAAAAATTTGAAAAATTCAAGAAGTTAGTGGTTTGACGAATTGTGGATATTTGAAATTTTCTAATTTAGAAATTTGAGAATTAAACAATTTTTTAGTATACTAAATTGCACCCTCGCTTAGGTGCTCCTCGCGCACCGCAAGTTGAGAACCGCCACAGTAGATAACCAGACAGAAATCACTATGCGAACTAAATATTACAGATTAAAGGAATATTTTCGGCATCGAGGTGAAGTGTACGAAGTATTTTGAGTACGTTACTCCGCAGGAAGTAGTTCATGCGTTCTTTAACCTCCTGCCTTACAATTTCTTTAGTAGTCAGACTTAGCTACGTTCGTTGCTCGAATGTCGAAAATAGAATGTTGTAAATTATGTTCAGCTAATTCTTGCATTTGTAATGTATGATTGTTATCGAAGTGGTCGCTTTATCGCAAACTACTTGTATTCGTATTTTGTTAACAGTGTTATTAACATAAACTGATATTGCGCAACAAACTGTTAATTTTTTACTCGGTTTAGTTGTTGTTTCTAGACACACTGTAAGTTACAGTTATAATTAGAGCTAATACCTTGTTTCATAGGAAAATGTAATTGAGCGTTCGTTGTATTTAAATTTGTATATGTTTCGTATTTTAAACATAATATACCCAAGTATACTACATTTAAATGGCTCCCAGTTTTCATCTGAGCATGTCACCTACACTACCGGATACTTATGGACGGTAGTGTATAGGATATGATAGAACATATTACATTGAAATATAGTGTACTCAGGTGTATACCAGAGACATCATTTAACAATAAACAAACTGGTATAACGTATAGTAGTAGAATAAACTAATTTAATGTAAATTTATTTGAAGTTCGTTGTGAATATCAGCAACATATTTTAAAGTCATTGAAAGTCCTTGTCCACATAATTTCTGTAATTAACAAGTCAGGAATCTTCACCTTCCTAAAAAAAGAAGTGCCGAGTTCGTTATCCCATACGATATTTTATTAATTAATACATTTGGTGATTCGTAGGGCTGTGAACCAGTTTAATGGCCACGAATACGAGGGTAACCCGCTAAAAGTGGAAATGTCTACGGCGGAGAGCCGACGAAGAGGCCGCAGCCAACGCAGCGGCGTTACTTATTCCGGAGTCTCGGGTTCCGGTCGTCAAACAGATTTCCCGCTTCGTATTCTTGTACAATCGGACATGGTCGGAGCCATAATCGGCCGTCAGGGATCCACCATACGTCAAATCACTCAAATGACGCGGGCGCGGGTCGACGTTCATCGAAAGGACAATGTTGGTTCCTTGGAAAAAGCCATCACCATTTACGGTAACCCGGAGAATTGCACGAATGCCTGTAAGAAGATCCTGGAGGTCATGCAGCAGGAAGCTAACAGTATAAACAAGGGGTAAGGAACAAAATCATACAGTATTGATTGAAAGTTTTGAATCCTTTGGTTATGGTTGATACATGTTCTGTTAACAGCGAGATCACACTGAAGATCCTCGCGCACAACAACTTGATTGGGCGAATAATCGGAAAAGGTGGTACCACGATCAAGAGAATCATGCAGGACACAGATACGAAGATCACTGTGAGCAGTATCAACGATATCAATAGCTTTAATCTTGAACGCATCATCACAGTCAAGGGCACCATCGAGAACATGAGCAAAGCTGAATCCATGATCTCCAGCAAATTACGCCAAAGCTACGAGAATGATTTGCAGGCGATGGCTGTGAGTAACAACCATAAACGAGCTTGAAAATTAAAACTGACTTTCTTCAAATCAGAATGTATCCGAGGATATAGAGATTCAAAGAGGATACACAGAGATTCCATATTTTTCAATTATCATTTAAGAAATTTACAAATACAGAAATTTGAAGATACAGGAAACCAGAAATATTAAATTCAATAATCCTTAACAAACTCGATACAGTAAGTTTAAAATCGCAAACTTTTTACTTGCAGCCACAAAGTATGATGTTCCCTGGCTTGCATCCAATGGCTATGATGTCCACCGCTGGTATGGGATACAGTTCACGTGGTCCTGGTTTGTACGGGTCAGGACCGGCACCGTATCCGTATCAAGCAAGTCTGCCGCCACAACAGGGTGTCCCTGCAACCGATACTCAAGAGACTGCCTTCCTTTACATTCCTAACAGCAGCGTGGGTGCCATTATCGGAACCAAGGGTTCTCACATCAGAAACATTATTAGATTCTCCGGCGCGAGTGTTAAGATCGCGCCGATCGAACAAGACAAACCAGCGGAACAGCAAACTGAAAGGAAAGTGACTATCGTCGGATCGCCAGAATCCCAATGGAAGGTAAGGTTCATTTGCATCAAGGTAAACCTCGTTGCTTATCGAGTTTCTCAACGTGCTCCAGAATTAGCTGTATCACTGCTCGATTATCGAGATACAGTATCTTTTCAAATTTTTACTAAGAATGTATAGAATCCAACCTTTTCGAATTATGAGAAGTCTGAAATTTTAGAGGATGCATCCTTTACTGCTTTTGAGAATTAAATTCATCTTCGAAAAAATGTTAAAAAATCATAGTCTTATTTCCAACAAATCTGATCGATTATTGTTACAATATTTATCTATTTTTTTTATCATGTATCAAGTAATTAATACTTTAAGTATTTAATACAATTGTCACGCAAGTCAGAGTAGTTCCTCTCATAAGCAAATAGATTCCATATGGAAAAACTGTTGGTCGTGAAGCACAAGTTGAACGTGGCGTTATAGAACGATTGGAAAGCGTGAGCCACCTCGTGGCTAAGTAACTTGAACGCCGACTTTCAAACGGCAAGGTCCAGCGTTCAAATCTCCCTCCATTTCGATGAACTATTACTTATCGTTTTTATCGATCTATTTGTGCACCAATGCTCCTGCTCTAGTTTGGGATTATGCCGTTTTTCAGAAGCATCGTCTTGAAAGAGCAGGAAAATTAACATGAAGGGTTTACCCGTACCAATGACACGTCACCATTTGCGTGTGCAAGTTGGTCCCGTTACTACCTTCTACAAAAATTTGTTTTATCAATATCTTACAATCGTTAGAAATTCCATTAATTAACAAACTTCACCTTTCTTTAACGCTTCGTTACTTTTATTATGCAAAATATGAATCAAACTGAGAGTGACTAGAATTGTTATATAAGGGGACAGTCTTAGATTGTTCTGCGTTACATAAATTGTATAGCTAGATCGCAAACAATATCGTTTTATATTGCCATAACAGAACGCGTTAAATTTCTTCGCATTAAATCGCCGTTGTATAATCACACGTTAGATTTCCACGTTATGTCACTACGTGTTATATCACCATTTTATACCTACTTACGATTTCTGAATAATTAAAAGAATTATTAATTATGTATTACATAAGTGATAAGTAGTTGGTATTCAAACCATATATGGATGACACGTGGTATTCGATGTGTTACACATCAACAAATTATTCATGTATTGATACATTACGAATGAATTATTTTCTTGTTTCTAGGCACAGTACTTGATCTTTGAGAAAATGCGCGAAGAAGGATTTGTTGCTGGCACCGACGATGTACGATTGACAATCGAGATTCTTGTACCGAGTGCTCAAGTTGGCCGAATCATCGGTAAAGGCGGACAAAATGTTAGAGAATTGCAGCGTGTTACTGGGAGTATCATAAAGCTATCGGAACAACAATCAACATCTCCTTCCGCCGACGAAGAGGCCACCGTCCATATAATTGGTCCCTTCTTTTCTGTACAGGTACTTTACCTTTACATGCACAATTTCCACTCGCTTAATATTTTTGACATTTACTGGAATAAACATTTTGAATAACAAGAATTATAATTTATACTTGTAATCAAAACACGTTTCTGCAAATAACTAGAAGTTGAAATTTAATAGGACAAGTATTTTAAATAGTCATACTCCTTATGTACATAAAAAGACATTATCAAAGCTAGGTTCTGGAAGTTTGTGTCGCGATTACTTTTGTAAAGTCACATTCTGGTCATTTCCTCGATTGCTACTTGGACCATATGATATGTTTTGATCGTTGTTTCATTTGTTGCACAGTCGGCACAGAGAAGAATTCGCTCTATGGTACTGCAGTCTGGTGCACCTGGAGCAGGTGGTGCTGGTTCTCGCGCTGGTCGTGGTAGCAGCCAAGAAGGTGGTTCTCGTAGCCGAAGAGACGGCAGTACCGCGTCTCAACAGGGCGGCACAACAACGCAACACTCTTCTCAACAATCGAGCACTTCGCCATCAAGCCAGCAACAACCGCAAAATCAGTAACGTCACTGAAACTTACCTGACGCCGACCAACACCTCAAAGAATCCGTTTTATTCGCCGGGGTGGGCCTCGTCGCTTTGACATTCTCTCGCTAAGAAGCTACGTGCAACCTCCTTCTCGCGGAACATGTATCCTTCGAGACGAAGGATATACACGAAAGCTTTCTATCGATCAAATATTCTACGTGATACATGAATCAACAGTAACGACATTCTTCAGAAATCATTTTCGTTCCGTTCAAACTGAAATCGTTGAGAGGGGAGTATGATCGATGGCACGTGTTTTTTGCTTCGTTTCTTCTCTCTTGTTTTCTTTTTTTTAATTCGTGTACGTAGTTCAAAGTATTTTTCATGGGTTTTCGAGAACTTGGAAAATGTAGCGATTTTTTTTTCTTTTATTTTTTTTTTAGATAGGTTTTTGTAGCGAAATGTTTGAAAAATTATCATTGTCGATTGAACGCCATCGATCGTGACTCTGTTCGCGATTTGAAATATTCAGGATAAACAGGAGAAAGGAATTGCATGAAACGTAACGCGGTACCACGCGAAAATAGATGGAAGTGCACGTTACTTAACGAAAACACGTCACGCGAGACGAGGTGAGACAAGAAAGGGTTCTCGACCGTTTCGGAACGGGGCAAATCAGAATTCGATTCTTCTTCGAAACGATACACATCGATCTCTCACCTCCTCTGCGCGCGTCGTTTCGTTGCGAGGTCGCTCGTGAATTTTTCTCCGGGTCGAAGCGACGGGTGACACTCGAACGAATCGTTAACGGAAACCACCTCGTCGATGAAATAGGATACGATGATTAAGAAACAAATAAGCATACACAACCTTATTACCTCATTCATTACGGTTAAAGATTTAATATGATAAAGGAAAGTGAAATGAGAAAAAGGTAAAACCAACTAATCTAAAAAAAAAAAGAAGTCTACCTAATATTAAAGTTATAATAATATACAGAGAAGTTAAGTAACGATTACACAATTACGTTATACATGTTATTACTACTACTACTATTACTACTACTATTACTACTATTACTACTACTGCTATTAACTATTTACTTCTGCTAAGTACCCTATACAGGAAGGCGGTTTTGTTTCTTTTTTTTTTTAAACGAAAAGAAAACTACTCTCGGTACAGTTTTTCTCTTTTTATATGTATATCACAACGCAGAGAGACATTAATTAACGAGACTTAATTATTGAAAACGCGAACGAAACGTGACACGTTCTGCGGTGGACGCAAGAGCCAGGCAAAAATGGTTTTGCAGCCAAGACGTTCCTCATACTCCCACCCGCCCCTGCCGACCCCTCTCGCACCGTGTAATACCAAAGAAGCGATCATGAGTTTTTTCGTATTAGTGTGAAGTGAAATGCGTGACACACACATGTCGTGTACGCTCTACTCGCCTCAAGTTCCTTGCAAAGAGCCAAGAAGAGTGAGAGGGGTCAAGGGACATCGCGGTCACACGTATACGCGGTTTTCCGCGGGGTATCGACGAGTGGTGTTATCGACGTCAAGGAACAACAGGAGATGGAAGGAAACCGACAGAAACATCATCGTGTAGAGGATCACTTTAGCTGAAAGTGATCGATTTATAAATTAAAAGGAAAAAAAGACGTTTTAAGAGAGAAAAGAGTGCAGATACGCAACGGGAAACGGACGCTGTTTCGTGCTACGAGAAGGATGTTTCCAGAGAGAATGAAAAAGCGACCGTTGGTACATGTACGGGGATGCCAGCGAAAGAGATCGCTGGCAAAAAAATGAAAAGAAGTGGTGACGGCAGAAGATGAAAGGAGAGAAGAATTTAAAGAGAAAAAAAATGATATGGGAGAAAGGAAAAGCTAAAACGAGCAGATAAGAAGAAAGCAAAAGCCACAAAACTTTTTCAGGGATTTTTACTTTACCATGGATGTAATAAGTGTGTGAGTGTGCGTGTGTTGAATAATACTATTAATTGATAAGTAATTAATTACCGATTAGGCATATTATTAACGGCAAGGAAAGCAAAAATAAGAAAAAACGCCAGACATGGTAGAAGTTTAGGCTTATCGAGGGAAAAAACGCGAGAGATTCTACGGTTAAGTGCTGGAAGAAGAAAGCGAATATTAAATACGCGAAGGCATCGTAATTATCTTTACGACGCCTTCGTCGTTCTTCGCCTCGTGATGCGAGCGTGAATATCGCCAGCGAGTTCCTCGGGACGACGATTGAACGCTGATCCGTTTTCTTTTTGTTTCTCCTTTTTTTTTTCTATCATCGACGTCTATCGACGATCTTTGTAAATTTTGTAATTTTGCTTTTCCCCTCGCCTCTTCGTTTTTAATCGTAGGATGTAGCGTTAAAACGTTAGGGTAGTAAATGTTAGGAAGCGTTTCGAATTCGTTCGTAGAAACTCGCAGCGATATCACGGCTTCGGCACAAAGGCGCGTACCATCGATCACGATGTTTCTGTCTATGATTCTTTCGGTCTGCATGATACAAAAAAAAAGAAAAATTGGGCATTGACGTTTTTCGAATGCCATTGAAAATGTTTCGATTCGACATGGTCCTTCGAAAGGTACCACGCTCGTTTGGCTTCGAAACAAAAAACGTGAACGTAATCGTAAGAATACGTTTACCTCGACAGAATTATTCGTGATCGATTTCGTGCGAGGAATACGATAGTTCGTACGGGCGGGAAGCGTTTTTTGAAAGATCGATCGCGTAAGAGAAATTTGGTTTTTTCTTAAAGAAAAAAAAATTGGAGGAGAGTGAAGATGAGGGAAAGTGGAAAAACTTTTGGGACAAAAGTGGTGGAAGGTTTATACGCACGATTGATCGTATAGGACTTGAAGTTGAAACATACTTGATCGAACGAAGTAACGCTTTGTTCGATAATCTATTTAATTGTGACCAAAAAAGAAACAATGAAAAATTAACGGACTGACGAGATGCACGATCACGTGCCACGAGATAACTTTGCTAAATCGATCGAACCATTCATCTCGATTTCAAGTAATTAATATCGAAAGAACTTCCGGTATATTGTTAAACCGTTCAATCAATATCCACGAATTATCGAGTTAAAGTTCCTGAAGAATTATCGTGGCACGTTATCGATGCTCAACTCTAGTACTAATAACGTTGAATCCTGATATCAGGGTTCGCGTTTTAACGACGACGTCGACGATCGTTTCCGGTAGCACGGACTTAATCGGACCGGCGGTTCGTCGACCCGTCGAAATTCACCTCACGGCATTCGGTATGCGTTTAGTACAAAAATACACGAGTTTAATGTGGGTAGGAAAGCATGATCCAGTTTTGCGAGTGGAAACGCGTAGTAGAACCAGGCGGCAGAGATATATGGCGTGTTAGGATTTTTGTTTGTCGGGATGAAGAGCGAAAAAGAAAAAAAGGAAAAAAAATACGTGTAACGAGAAGAGCTGCTGGAGTGTGCGCACGAATATCATCATCCGTTGTGGGTTATGGAAAAGAATCGGCGGTGAAGGTATGCAGTGGAGAGCAAAGAGACAAACGGAAACCGTCAATGCGACTGTGTTCCGTTTTCCTCTTTTTTTTCGCTGCATCTCGAGGAAGAGTGCCGGAAAGACGAGAACGAAAAAAAAGGGAAAGCAAAGATGAGAGTTTCGCGTTCGGTACGCGAAATTGACCGAAGACAGGAAGGAAAAGCGAAGGAAAAAAAAAACGGAAACGGAAAGGAATTACGCGAAGGAGAGAACAATGAAAAGACGAAAGAGAGAAAATGAATCTAAGAGTAATAAGTTTATTTTTGATACATTGTTGGGGAGATCTAAGTGAATCTTTCTTTTTCAATTTTTTTGTTAGATGTTTTTAATAACTTAATGAATTTTAACGATATTAAAATAAAGAGGAAAAAAAAGAGAAGCGAGGCGTGGACATTTTTTAAATAGAGATATAAGAGATATTAAGAGAAAGGTGGATGAGAAGGGAAGAAGCGAGGCGAAGTGTTTTTCGTGAGAGATTAATTAACTTAAAATAAAAAGAAAAAATTAAAAAAAAAAAAATGAAGAAGCGCGCGATAGAGAGAGGAAGTAAAATAAAAGTAATGAAAGAGAGAGAGAGAGAGAAAGAGGATGATGAGAGATTTAAGAAAAAAAAAGAGCGCGGCGCGCAGCTTTTTGCGCTGTGCGCGTCTGTCGCTCGTCAGGGGGGAAAATAAAGGAGATTTTTTTAGTCGGATAAATTGTATAATATATTTAATATATTTGGAGAAAAACGGTAGCGACAGGGTGAATTTCGGCGAGGGCATCGTGTCACTTCGACGGCGAGCGACAAACGCGATCGGGCTCGCAGTTTTATGCGACGCGATTTTTTTTCACGTGGTTGTCGCTTCCTGGAAAGCCTTCCTCGCCCGCCTAGCCCTTCGCTCTCGTGCTTATTTATCAAGCGTAAATATTTAATGAAACAAAAAAGTGAATAACATTTTGTAAGAAAAGATAAAAAAGGAAGAAAGAAAAATAAATAAAAGGAAGCAAAGAAAAACGATGAAAGTGCCAAGGAACAAATTATATAGAAAGAAATAAAGAAACAGGACAACACACACACGCATGCGCTGAAGACACCGTTTCATAGAAGACGAATCATCCAGAAACCATAGAGTGTAAAATGAATACAAGCAAGGAACATGCATATCTCGTTTATTCTGAAAAAAACAAGTAATTCACTTTGATAATCCAGAAGATCATTTACGCTACCTCGAGAATCACCTGATGCCCCTTTCTCCTGAAACGAGATGCACGCCAGATGCATCAGGATCAATTTCTTCGACAATTTTTCGGCCAATATCAATCAAAATTCAACGCACAGGGAAACACCGTAGAGAGAATGGAAGAAGTACAAAGAGAGAAAGCACGACGCGAGTATATACAGAGATACGATCGCTCTTTTCACAGAATTTCGTTGTTGTTGGAAAACCAAACAAAAAAAAAAACGACTACCTGAACCAACGACGAAAACCACCGCCCCCCCTTTTTGGAATATCTCTTTTTTGTAATAAAAGAAAAGAAAAAAAAAAGGACAAAAAAAAAGTTCGTAATCTGCCCCGCACGTGGACTTTTACACCTTTCGCTCGTTCATCGATCTTTGATTCATTTTTTCGTTACGCAAACTTTCTGGGACGAAATTTCCAAGAGAAAGACGAAGAAGACAAGACTAATGAGATATTCGAAGACTCAGTAGCGTAGGAAGAAGATACACATACAAAGATAAAAGATGCTCGGAAGACACCCCTTTGACTTCGTAGCTCGCTCCATAGTTCTTGTAAATCCATCGCGAACAAAAAGGATCAAGGAACAACGAGAAATTCAACACGGGAACAAAATGAATGCACGCAACAACGGAAGAGCCAACAATCGTCAACAATTTGATCAGACCGAATGCGCGGTAAAGAAACTCAGGAAGCTGTATCGCGACAGGAAGAAGGTGAACGTTACTTATTTCGGCCGATTCCTCAGCACTTCGAACGCCACAAAGGAAGAAGATGGAGAAGACGAAGAAAGAGAAGAAGAAGAATAGAGAACAAGAGATTTTTGGGGAGAGAGAGAGAGAGACAAAAGCCCGCTCGCACGCTCGGGAGAATGTACAAATCAAACAAAGTAACAAAGAAAGAAGAATCTTTAAAGAAAAAAAAAAAGGAAAAAAGGAAAAAAAAAGCGTAAGAAATGAAAATGAAGATTGAATAGAAATTATTAATATAATGATAACTTAAAGAAATGAAGAGAAATGAAGATTTTTAACGTTATAAATTATTATGCGCGCGAATTAAGAGGCGAGGAGTAACTTAATCTACTGGTAAGGAATACCAACAAACAAATGTACAAAATCGATTTATCGCTAAATCTAAATGTTAGTATTCTAGAATATTTTACCGTGAGAAGAATCGTGGTTATCGATTTTTAGAATTGAGGAAATTTAAAAGTAAGCTCGTCGCTTAAGTTAAGATTTTCCATATTATCCAGCGGGACAAGAAACAAAATGGCGGAAACGGAAATATTCAATACGAAAAATCGTATCAAGGCATTTGGATTCAAATCAACATCCGTCGATGAAGAAATTAACAAAAAAAAACACCGGTTTTTTGATCGAAGCGTGAAACGTGCGTAAATTCAACGATTATATATAAACAAACAAAAAGAAAAAAAAAGGAAAAGAAACACAGAAAAAATGAAGCTTTCTTTTTGTACGGTACGTCCAATGTGTCGTCGATATGTCTCTGATGACTTTTATCAAGCTCGATCTATCTTTTATCGCCTTCCTATCGACTGCTAACACACAACGAAACTTTTGTAATTTTTGCACAAAAAATTCACAGGAGAAACGATGAACGATGGACGAAGGACGTAAAACACCGTCGAACGTTACATCGTACTAGACGAAAAAACCAGCGAACACAGAAAGGAAAATGCGTCTAACGCGTAACAACTACGCGATTCGCGAACAAACTTTCGATAAAGACTAGAGAATAAAAATGAAAAATGGCTACGAAAAGAGGATGCCTCGAGACGAGGCGACAAAGACCAAACAGAATCTTCCATTTTCCGTACACGTTCTAGGTAGAGCTTGCGATATAAACATCTCTCTTACAGTTCGATCTACCATAATTCAAGGTATCAGCATATCCGCTCGACGCGAACAAATCTTAAAGGATTAAAAACACTCGCGCATATACTCTCGAAAAGCACGACGAGAAATTTTCTAACGAAGGAAGAAGTCCACTGAATTATTCTGAAATTCGATCATATCTTGTGATCTTCGGTCGATCATCGAAAAGTTACATCTTTCCAGTTTTACTTTTCATCCGGTGGTTCCCAAATGTCTCCGAAGTCGAAATACTTTTCCAATTTAAAAATTCAGAAATGAAATAATTTTGTCGGCTTTCAAGTTTCGAATAAATCCTTGCCTGAATCCTCGTGAAAATATTTTGTGGCGTTCTGAAGCGACAGATTTGGGAATCACTGGACTTACGATTCACGGCAACGTGAGAAGGAAAACACTCTCTGAAGAAGAAACGTGATGAAAAATTGGATGAATTCTAAAAGAAAAAAAATCTCGGTACAATCCTTCCAGTTTTACTTTTCGTCGATGTCTACGCAACAATGATCAATCATCGCACCAGCACCGCCGTACTCTAATTACTCGCAAACTCGAGGAACGATCTATTACAAACAGCAGCAAGAATATATCATTCTCTTAGCGGACGCTGCTCGACTGTCTTCGTTGCACACGCTATACGTCATTTACACGACGAATACTATGAAATATCATCAGGATGATTCACACCGATGTCAGCTATCACGCGTAACCGAAAACGATACGCAACGATCGCGCCTCGTCAAGCGCGATTTCGTTATCGATCTTACACGATCCCACAATATTATAAGCGTATATCTATAAATATACATATAGATATTTATTATTTGATACGTGGACAATTCCGCGCAGGGTTTTACAATAAATGAACGGGATGGATTACAATACGAAAAGCGACATTGAGGGAAGAAGATGAGAAACGTACGATTCTTCGACTCCTTCGTCGCGGAACACTCGTCAGGTTAACAGCACTTCATATTTCTTTAATAATAATATTAATATAATAATAATAGTAATAATATAATAATAATAATAGTGATAAATGAATAGTAATATAGTGATAAGGGATATCGAATTATCGGAAACGACATCAATATTAATCCACGATTATTATTACTGTCGTTCGCGATGAAGACGAAAGATCGTGCGCGTATATGATAATAGAACCAACCGAGAAAAAAAAGAACAGAAAAACAAACCGATTAACGAAAAATTCATCAAATTATTTTGGGCTTTAGTATTAGTGTTTCGGGATAGACGAACTTTTAATAAGCGGCAGTTGGATCGTGCGAATTTTTAAGACCGCCAAGATTGACGGAGAAATTAAATGTTCTCGATTCAGTTCGGGATACGACGTTTCGTTCTCGAGCAAAACCTTTCTCTTTCCGATCGGTCGACTGGCATCGATCGATATCGTTTTCTTTCTATCGTTTGCTCGGTGAACGACACGACGTAACATTCCGGCTAAATCGAATCAGCAAATCCATAATTAGCAAGGATGTGCGGGTTCTCGACATTTTCGAATTTAACCAAGTTTTTTTCCGATATCGGACTAAAATTTAAAGGCCCCGGGGAATCGACGTTAGTCGACGATATTGAACATCGCATTAAATTCCAGATCTGATTATCGTTGAATTAAGTTTCACCGAAATATGGACGTTAATATTTCAAGATTCTTACAATGCGATATTGTCGGTATTTCAGTATTGTCGATGAATATTATCGGGAACTCTGAAATATTGATAATATACATCTCCATTGCAGTTAACCAAGTTCTGGAAGAAAGATCACCCGCACAAACTTGATAATTAAATTCCGTATCGAGAGGAAAAAAAGAACGGTTCTGTAACGAATACGCGGCGGTAAACGAGGGCCTTATTCTATACAGTTGGGCATTGTTGTTAATATGACAGATTCAAGTGATATCGCTAAACAGATAATATATATCGGGTAAGCTTTAGGCGTGGTACGTAATTGAAAATCGGTAAGGATGAGTGAGAGAGCGGCTGAGAGATAGGATGATAAGAGGTAAAAACAGAGATACATAATCTAATCGTAGAGTGATCTAATCAAGAGTTCTTTTTAGGAAATAGTGTTGAGAGAGAGAGGCAGAGAGACACAATTTTTTTTCCATTTCTTTCTACTTTTTTTTTTATCTTTTTCTTCAAGAGGTCTTAATATATTATCTATTATTATCCTATTGTTGCCAATAATGGGCATTATGAGAAAACCGCGCGGGTATGTAACTTATTCTCTACGCTGCATTTACACTCCCCGAATTCCCTGAAAGCCCCCTATCCCCGAGATGACCCTTGTATTATGCATATAGTGAAACACACGTATATACGCTATACACTTGTTGTACATAGATATATATTATATGTAAAGCTTAAAACTTATTAACGAGACAGATTTAATCGACTCGTACCGGATAGAAGGACTACGCAATCCGTTTGAACCGTTTGTCGCGTATGCGTGATAAGAGCGAATGAAGCTTGTTTTTCTTTTCAATTTTTTCCTCAAGATGAACGTTGTTACACGAAGACATCCACGGTTCTTCGATAATCGACCGAGAATCAATGTTGATCGTGCCGCGTGTGGATAACGCACGAATGCGAAACATTCAACCACCATCGTCGCTCTCGTCTCGTACTTCGCCATATGATATCTTTAAACTGTCCAGAGACAATATCTTACGAGGAAAGTCAGCCTATACAAAGGAATTTTCTATGATAGTCACGGAAACATTGCAATACGTTCGATCGTTCTACGATAACATCGCGACAAACGAGTCGAGAATGTTAACGCGTACGAACAGATCGACGAATATTGTCTGTTCCTCGTTTAAAATGCTGGTTCTGTGATCAGCAGTAAATAACATACGTAGATAACGTTTTATCGCTCGAGGACTGTATTCACACTGCCAGCGAAACGAGATAGCGACGCACCAGCAATATTTTCAAATTATTTTTGAAGATATCCACGCGCCACGTTAACGAGAAATAGCGAACTACCGTAAAATAATATATCCGTGTGCCGTTTAGCGCTGTTTCTCCTGCGAAATCGCACGACGATCGAGCAAACAGCACCACCTGGAAGGATGACGAACGATCGATCGTCACGAATCGAGTACGAGATGAGTAATACTAAAACCCAAAATAGCCATTTTCGTGGATTTGGCTGATCGATGGAGATCGAGACGCAGAGAAAGAAGGCACGTTTTCACCGAGAAAGAGAAAAAGAAAATATGAAATAACGTCGAGATGGGAGTTTTGTTTTTTCGTTCATTCGCTACCTCATATGAGTTATATTACCGTGTTTCTTAATTATTATAGCGAGCGGAGAAATAGAAAAACAGAAGATGGAGAGA